CAGCCAGCACAAAAACGTCCTCTGCCCCCCAGGCAAGGCCTGCAGAGGAGGAAGCAGCACCAGCATCGCCATCTCCTCTGCCCACCAGCAAGGCAGAGGTGCCACCAGCCCCTGCTTTCCCACAGTCCTGCAGCCTCTCTCTGGCAAAGAGAACCAAGGCCTTTCACTGGGATGTTGTTCCTTCGGATAAGGTGAGGATGAAACTCCTGGTAGATGATAAAAGAAAATCCTACCTTACATATACAGTTATCATAAAAGTACAGTTGTGTCACAAAACAAACCGGATGCTCTTCTGTATGTTATGATGAAAAAAAAACTGGCTCTCTTCTTTTGGGCTCTTGTTTACCCCGTCGTGTCTGTATTTTTAGATTCAAAAATCCATCTGGGGAGCATGTGATCCACACAAGAAAAAGCTAGATGAATCTAGACTCTGTGATCAGTTCCAGATCCAGGACATGGCAGTGTTTTCCAGCAGTGAACCTTCAGGGAATCAGCATATCATATTGGATCAAAAAGTGGCACACAACTTCAGTAAGTTAGTAAAAGAATTGCATGCTCCTATCTGGAAGCTGTGTGTGCGCTGCATGCACTTTGTGTTTGCAATTTCTGCTGTTTCTTTGCAAAGGAAGCAAGCTAATTCCTAAATGATCTTGTAATTTCAATACCTGATGACTTGTTTATATATATACAAAAAACTCAGTTGCTTTAAATATAGTTGTTAATAATGTAAAGAATAGAAGCATCAAGGTGAGAGCAGTATTTTTACAATAGCAAGTTATAATCAATATTAGCAGGATGAAATAAAAAAAGGAAGAAAAAATGTAAGCTGAATATTAAGAAAGAGTTTCACAAAAACGTAGTCCAGTAGGCTAGAGAAAATAGTCTCAAAGACAATTGCTTTAAACAATGCTTTGGATGTGAAATCTAGACAAGGTGAGCTGTGTGCTATTGTTTTTTCTTCAAAATAAAGTTGACCAGACTGCAAGACAAGTTCTCTGTCCTTGATCATTAATCAGGGACCTCCCGTGTCCCTGCTTCATGAGGTGTACCTCATTTCGTGAAGACCGTAAACTTTGTTTTATCATTTTTAAAACTAATCTCAGCCGTTTTCAGACCATTGATATGGCTTCCTGTAAGATAGCCTGTTACACTGCGAAGTTCTCATCTCCTACAAAATGCATGATTATGTTATCAAACAGTGATGCTGATGTAAGCTCTTACGTGAAGCCTGTGAAACTGTTAAGACTCCACTTGTAAGGCTTTTGTGCCTTTGGGCTTGACTAGGTAAAATAAGTAAAAGAAAACTTTGCGAGGAACTAGCACTTTGAATGCTCTGGTTGGTCCCTCTCCTACACTGAGTTTAAGGATATTTTTTTAGATGGAGGCACCTTGGCATAAGAAGCCACCGAGGTGCCTAGAAGCCAAGTTCCAGGAGCTCTGCTGGCCCGTTTCTGGACCTGCTTTAATAGATCAGATCGTGAATTTCTGTCTTGAATGATCACAAACCAGATCCTTCTTTCTCAGATCCTCATAGCAGACATGATTCTGCCAAAGGGCTAACCTAGTCTTTCACAGCTAATGAAACAGTCCAACATACAGTCCTAATCTTACTACTAAATTGACGAAAAAGTCCTTCAATTACCCTAATGAGAAGCGATAGATATTAAAGGAGAAGGAGTAATTGTTCTTCAAAGGCTACTCCACTTTCTCTTACAAGCAGAGATGTCTTACCGAGAAAAATCTGTAACTTAGCGCTGATTTAGAATTACCTGTGTGAAGAATTTGGGACAGTTAAATTTTTGAAGCTGTAATAATTTCATCTTTATGATTATTAATAAGAAAGAATACACTTTGGAGATCTTGTAAAGTTTTAATTGGCAACTGTAAATGGAAATAACTTGCTGGAATTACTGCATCTATTGACCAAGAGTTGGAGGGGTTAAAAGGAAGCGATTGATACAAAAGTGCTGTTGTAGATGAAAAGAATCCTGTAATAGCACTTTTATCTGCTACATTGTTGCACATTCTTTTAGGAAATTTCTTTCTTTTGGTTTGCAAATTGCACCATTCTGCCTTTTGATCCTTTTTCACTTACAACTTTTCTCATTGAGACTTTCTACATCTATTTCTTAATCCTATCCTTCAAGTCCCATCAATGAAAGTTTTGACATGTACTTGTAATGGACATTACTTAGATCAAAAGGTAATTTCAGCCTGAGAATTTTGATTAATCTTCCCACAAGTGCTGCAAATCATAGTCCTTAAACTAATGAATAAAAAATTGAAGAAACAAAATGCCAGTAAGTTAGTTTTCTGCATATAAAATCCTTATTTTGCTTAGAAAGTACTTTGAAGTTCAACATTATGGTATTGCTGAGAAAAATTCTAGAAACTGTTAGTAACTGAGTGGAGGGTAAATATATTAAATATATTTTACTTTTGAAGAAGAAAATGCTGACAGTTTTTTTTTTTTTTTTTTTTTAATGAATGAGAGAAGGAAGGAAAGCTTAAAAAGGAGACCTAAACTCACCTTTTTCTACATATGGGTGACCACTGTAGAAGAGCAGTGGGCTTTTATTTGAGTTAAGGACATGTCCCTGTAGTTGCCCAGTTTTTCCATGAGAATTCTGTAAAATGAGTTCAACAGATTAGGTGAATTATGAGTTTTTAGGGGAGGTTGGAAAACTAATTCTGAATCTGTACAAGAAGTATTTTTATCAGCAATCTGGTTCTCAGAATGTGTATAACTAAGGTAAGGAACTGAAGCAACTCTGTGACCTTTGTCTAACCACACAGAACATTTTGAATTTCATTTGTTAAATATTTGTATCTGGTTACTATTATAAAATCTGAAGATCAGAAATTGTTTCTGAATTTCAAATTCAGAAAATGATCAAGAAAATCTTAAGTGCTTTGTGGCTTCTTTGTGAAAGTGAAGCAGATAAATTTTAAAATCAACATTATACAGGCATCTTCCTACCTCAAGAAATACATGATTTAAAGGGCATAGGGAGGCATAAGGGTATAAGGCATAAGTGGGAAAATGATTCCATCAGGCTCAGCACTAAACCTGGATCCTATAACAGAATTAAAGGGGTGGAAAGTCTGTAAGAGGAAGAATAAATGGAAAACACTCCATTGGCCAACAATCTCCCAAGAGTCATTATGACATAATTTAGGCCACAGTAAGTTTCTATTATCTGAAAAACTCTGAACTGTTTTAGAATTGGAGAAAGAAAAGGTAAATCATAGAAATCCTTCCTGAGGTCTCCTTCGCAATCCCTGTGTGCTGCTCACAAGGGTTCTGCCAGTGCAGACTCTAGGACCATTTAATGGCAACACTATTGGCATGTCAAATTTTCTCGCTTTCTCTGTTGATCCCTTGTGTTCTCTTCCTTGTGTTTTCTTTCTCACTCCTTTGTCCTCTGTAATGTTGGTATAGAGGTTAAAGAATAACTGGCATGACAAAGTGGGCTTTTTTGGAACAGCAGCCTTCCTAATGGATCTTCCTCTGCTTAGGGGAGAGGCTTCATTTCTATTTCCCTTTCATACTGTGCAAAATGAGCCAAGCCTGTGTCTGCACAAAAGTCTTAAAACATTGCAAAAATTGTTTGTCATTTTTTAGAATGACAAGGAGTATCTGTCAATGAGATCTGCCACAGACAGTATTAAAACATACTCTTTGGGCAGTGTGGGAGAAATGAGCATTTCTGTCTCCCAGGTTGCCTTAATTTGTGATTAATTTTTGTTGCCAGAACTCTAGCTACTTTTGAACACTGGAAATGCAATAAAAAAGTAAACAAAATCAAAACAAATAGAATATTTAATTCTTTTAACCTTCAGTATTGTAATAAACAAATACATTACATTTTTATTCAGAAAAAAATAGAATTTCCTTTCTGAGTGCAGATAAATATATAATAGTAAATACTTGAAAGTTTTCCTATAACAGTGTCTTGGTAGTTCTCTTGTATTGACTATATTTTGACAGAAAAATATTTTTGCTTGACTACTTCTGTGTATATTTAAAAGAAAGACTGAATTTTCATCTTAGCATTAGCAGTTACTAAGTGAAAAACAAATTTTATCTGGGAGGCAAATGTGAAATGTTTTGGTGTTTTCCTTCCCTTGAGCTTTTTCCTCCAAGTAATCTAAGAATCATTTTCCCCCAGACATTTTTCTTAAAAGTTTCAGAATAAAACCAAGTCAGCTGAAAGAAAAATTATACATTATACATGAAGAGAGTGGTGGACTTACAGATGAACAGATTACAGCACTAAGAAGGTAATCTTTGGGGTTCAGTTGTTTATTTATGATAAATGGTACCTTTTGCAAAAAGCCTAATTTTCTGCAAATAATGGGAAATTCAGGAAAGATACTACTGTGGCTTTGAATCTCTCCTGACTGTGAATCTCAGTCCTTATAACTAAGATTGTACAGTGCTCCCCAAAATGTTGCTCTTCCCTGTGTTCCTTGGGGAATGACAGCAAGCCAGACATGGTTTTGAACAGGTTACAAGGAGCAGAGTTAATGGAAGAATCGATCGTGGTAGTGAGCAGCTGTAACTTAATGGGAACACTTCACAGCTTTACCTTCTATCAAATCAAAGAAACATAAGAAATTCTATTTCCTATTTAAGTATTCATTTATAAAGAGGAAAACAAATTGCTTTGGAAAGGGAAAAGATATTAAAGATATCAGTGTTTCCTAGTGGCAGAGATTTGGGCCTCAAAGCAGAATGCAATTTTTTGTATCTTTAAAAATAAATGAATTATATTCAGAGAAATAGATTTCAAGAGTGTAAGCAAACTATTGGCATGTAAAGTTTGTATGAAATAGATTGTATCTCTTTGAATAGTTTACAGCCTAGGAAGACAGCAGGTCCTAGATTAGTATCCTTTATGCAGCCAACTCTCCAGTCAAGGCAAGTGTGCCTTTTTATGAAATACATTCATGTGAAAAGTTAATGTGAAACTGCCTTTTGCTTCAAAATGAGAAAATACTAGTGTTTGGCTAAATGGAGTCTGGCAAAAGATGATGCTGGTGAAGAGTGAGGAAGTAATGTATTCTGCTACAGACATGTCTACTTGTAGTAGACATTAAATTAATCCTGTCTTCAAAATTCTAATCTCTGTATGAAATTGATCCTGACTTTGAAATCCTAATTCTAATCTCTACATCACCATTAATTTTTATGTCTGCACTTTGAAGGTGATGAGAACAGGAAAAAGAGTTGAGTAACATGTAGAGTTAATGGTGCTGTGAGATGGCTTGTAGAGAGCTTGCTTGAGCGTGTATCAAGCAGTGACAGTCTCTGGGGAAAAAAGAGGTAGATCTGGCAGAAGTGAGGGGCATCCTGAGTCCTGTAGCTCGGGATAGTGCGTGGGACAAATGGTCAACCCCGCTGGTGACAGCAGTCACTGCTCACCTCCATTTGAAGGAGAACAGTGCCGGGTGCTCCCACTGAAATCAATCCGAACTGCTTGGTGTGTAAAATAGTGAAAGGTGTGAAACAACATTCAAGAAAGGGGACATCTAACTTTCATTTTCTGTTTTACAGGTATATGCCAACACCAAAAGATGTGGAAAGGTACCAGTCCTTCAGGGGGTCCCCTTCGGAGCTGCATATAGTTGATCAGTTTATGTTAGAGGTAAGAAAGCACAGCAGACATTAAAAGACATCACCCAATTTCTGGGACACTCTCTTCTAGATAACACTGCTACAAGGGAGATGGTTTGGAACTTAAGTTTCCAGTCACAGCCAGAAGCAGGGTAAGAGTGTTTATCTGATGGAATACATAGAAATTAAAGAAAATTTTTACCTCTTTGCAGTTCCATGTAATGCTTCTTCCCCTTCCTTGAAAATAGGAATGAATTTATTCTGAGCTAGATTTCCAAAAATTTCAAGTGTAAAATTGTGTGCGTTTAACTATTCTTGTTCACAGGAAATAAGGGTTCTGTTTGTGCATGTGCAGTGAGTTCTTACATACTTGTTTCCATATATACATTCATATGACGTGATTTCTATATTTGCCATCGTAGATCTATTGTCTTAAGACCTGGAATAAGATTAATAAATGAGTACAGAAACTAGGAAAACTGCTATAATTGAATTACTCAATATTTTGAGATATGTGTGTGTGAGTAGAAACATGGGTTTGGATTCCCTTTCTGCCTGTTTTTGCAGATGTGTAAAATCTCGCATTTAGGCCAGAGGCTGGATCTCCTGCTTACCATACGTGAGCTCCCTGTGAACATAAGAGACTTGGAGCCTGTAAGTAACGTGCCTGTTTCATAGTTTGCTTGTAATAAAATCTACTGATTGGATAGCAGAGGGCCAAATGGCCTGAATGCAGATTTCAAGCTGTGTGTTTGGGTACAAAGGAGGAGTTTTTTGAGTCTTATGGAGATGGATGTCTGTGTTCCAAACTGCTGCCTTTACATATCAGGCTTTACCTACGCTTCAGTTCAAAACAAATTATTTCAACACAATTCTGCTTCAGTCGAAGATTTTGCTTGCTTTCTGCACGGGAATGAAAGCACATTTGGAAAGTTGCTGGAAGTCAGTGTTGTTACCCCTTGTTTGGCTGTGATTAAAACCATAGTAACAGCGAACAAAACTCAGAAGAGGAACAGATGGAGAACACTGGGGAGATGCACAGATTTCTGGCCCTGCCTGTGATAATGTGACACCTTTGCTATCCTCTGCTGAAAGCAAATATTTGAAAACTTGGAAGCTGTAGTATAGTGATTACTTTGAGGAATATTTATTGCTCCTTGAACAGCTGATTAGTTCTCTAAGTATCTCCTTACACATCTAAATAAAGTGTAGACAGGACACCTAAAATTTATTGGATGATTTGAATATGAACTTTCAGTATTTTTTGGACCTCTCATGTGCTGTGAATATTTTGATAAGGGCTTTCAAATCTCTCACAAGTTTTCTTCTGTGTTTTTACATTTTTATGTTGCTGGTTGATCGAGATAGGTGTGGCAGTAGAAAAATATACATTTCCTAATTTAAAACAAAAACACCTTTTGTATCTATAGACCTAGAAGGGAGGTGGTTTCCCTCAGGAAAATTAATGTGTGATTACAGGGAATTACTATTCTTCCTCATGGGGAAATTGTGCCAAGAATTTTGATAAGGTAGCCGTCTCCTAGTTGGTATATAAACAGATGGGAGAGAGGGGAAGGATGGAGAACCTTTCACTGAGCTTCAGGCTATCCTCTTCCCTTGATGCCTGACATTTGGTGCAATCTGGTGCATTCAAACAGCAAAATATTTTTTATTCGTGAGCATTTTTGAGCTGAAGTTGAAGTTCTTTTGGCAAGGCTCATCTGGCAGCCAGAAAGGATATGACCTCTAACTGAGGCAGAGAGGCCGTGCCAACGCCAGCTTTATCTTGGTGGCAGAATTTGGCCAGGTCTTTCCTCTGGCCCATTCTCCAAAGCAAGTTGGAGCTAAGAACAATGAGGCCCTGGCAAAGGGAAGATAAAGATGTCAATGTTTTCCTCATATTTTTATCCTAAACTGAAGAAATATGTGTGCATTTCAGTTAATAAACCAGAAAATCCAAGCAAGTAAGCAGCTGCAGTCCAGCCAGAAATTTATCGCTGTCTTGGAGTACATTTTAGCCATTGGGAACCTTTTAAATGAAAAGGCAGGAAAAGAGAAGGCTAGAGGATTTCGATTGTCATCTTTGATGAAAGTGAGTAAACATTTTTCTTGTCATTAAAATTGTCATATATTATATTGTATGTTGGCCATTAACATTAAATTTTGTCCTGAATATGGAGAAAACCAATCATTTTTAATGAATAGCTGACACTGTAACATCTGCTCTTGCTTACACTAGAAACAATGTCCAGTTTAACAATGTATTCTTTAATGTGTATCATAAAAAGATGCATTTCCCCATTTTAGACAGCAGCGCTGGGTGTGTGGGGGCACTGTGGTGTTCACATTGCTTCTCTAAAAAGGTAAAACACCAAAATGCTGTTAGATACCACAGCTAGAAAAGACATGAGCTGCGGGCTGCTGGCCAGCCTTGAGTCTGGGTCAAGTGAAGTGGAGTTTGAAGGTTATAAGGACCTGGTGTCATGTCCTGGGGCAGAGGCTGTGACTACAGCCTTTCTCTTGCGAGGGTTGTGCTTCTCCAGCATGGAAGCAATTCCTTCTTAGCACTTCAGCTCTTCAGTGCAGAGGCCTTTTACAACAAGTGGTACTATATACTCTTTTTAGGGTAAAGTTTCACAGAATACGAATAAATGAAGAAATTCAAAGAGTTAGGCTTTTCTGTGGTGGTTTTAACCAGCAAAATTTATGTGAAACTTCTAGAGAAAATGCCAGAGCCTTGGTGAGTTGTGGAAGAGGAGACTGGAAGCGTGATGTTGGGAGGTTCAAACTATGGACTTTGTAGCCCTAAAAATACCTCTGGGAATCAGGATACCCACTATACACTTTAGAGATAAATATGCTGTTCCCTTCTCCATTTTTCTCAGTGCAGTTCTTTGAGATATGAACTGATGTCAAAAAGCAGCAGGATTATGTGCAGAACTGTTAAAATCTGCTGGCCATTCGCAGTGGTCCCACGAGCTCCAGTAGTTCTCTGGTGGGTGCTGGAGCAGGGAAGGAGAATGCTTGTTCTGAGCTCTTCTTTCCTGCCAGAGATCTGCCCTTCAAAACCCATCTTTCATCTTAGTTCTTTGCTTGTATCTATGCTGACCTACCCCTTGCACGACTGCAGGCTGAGTTTTCTGTTAGTTGCCACTAGAATATGTGCAACTGAGCACCGGGTGTTTTTTTCCCCTCCTCTACGCAGCAGTGACAAAGCATGATCATCTTATGCTAGTAAAATAAGAATTGAATACAAATTTCATAAGCTGTCTTGAACCTCTAAGGTTACTATAAAACTATGCTTGATCTGTAAATAGGATAGAGAAGTTCTTGGTTTGTTTTGTTTTTAAGATATCTTTTCCATCTGGAGACTTTAATATATGAGTGATTTATAATAGTAGTGACAATTCAAGACACAGATTCCATTTTTTTAAAATGGCTGTGGTATCACATCTATCATAATGAAAAATGTCTACAAAATCATTTTCTGCTACAGAGCATCTTCCCAGATTCAATTAAGGAACCTTACTATCTATATGAGTACAGCATAGTGCCTTAAGTAGAAAGGGGTACGTGACTGTTTAGAGATCCAAAATCAGTCACAATCAACTAGGACACCTTAAGATAAAAAAGATCCTTGTGAATAAGAAGACACAAAAGAAAAAGTGAACAGATATGAAGGTGTAAAGGTGATCTTAATCTAGAATGTCTGAAAAATGGCAAATTGAAAAGGATAAGTTTCATTCCATTGTGTTATTTTATTCTTGTCAAATTTACCTAGGTAGGAGTGCTCAGCATCCCTGCTTTTCCTTTTTTTTTTTTTTTTTAAATATATATATATCCAACCTTAACCTCCACCCCAGAAGTGGCTATATTTGATAAATGCCTGAGTTAATCACAAAAATGTATCAGGACTGTAAAAGACAGGGAATTCTTCCAGCTAACAAGTATATATATATATATATATATATATATATAAAGTATAATAGCTCAGTCTGTCAATTACTGCTGTACTCTATTTGTAGTTGTCTCTGTTGCGGGGTAAGGAGAGGACATTCACCTTGCTTCATGCCCTTGTGGAGCAGATCTTCTTACATGAGCCTGATTTGGCTAAATTTTCCCAAGAGCTGACAGAATTTGAAGCTGTTCCTGACGGTAAGATGATGGAGGGAAAATATCAACGAATGAAAAATAAATCCCTCAACCCTTTTATGGAAACTTCCATCATTCACGTTGTGTGAGTGATATTTATTATCATCTTCCCTCTCCATTCCTTTCCAGCTTCCATGAAAGGACTTAGTGCTGAAGTTGATGGTATGTAAATATGGTTTCTAAATTCGGGAAAAGATTGTCATATGTTGTGCAGTCATTTGGAACAGGTTTTCATTGCGCTTCTGCAGTTTACAAAGAGAAGTAAAGGTGCAAAATATTGAGGTAAAGTGTTGCTATGGTGATATTTAACCTGCCATGTTACTGTGAGGAGTTTTTGAAAACAAATATTAAAGTGCTTCCAGGTGGTATAGAAATATCAAAAAATATACTGCCCATGAAAAATAGAATTTTTCTTAAAGACGTTATGTGATACAAAGTTACTGGCAAAGTTACTACTGGAACAGAGTAATCAGGTGCAGAAAATACAGCAGGAGAAAACTTAGTACAGTTAAGTAGTAAAGTTCAAGAACTTCTTTGAACCAAACTGATATACATCTCTAAAAAGGAATGCAAGAGTAGTGTTGTCAATAGGAGAGAATTAGAATAAGGTTGTTCAAAAATGTAAGGTGAACTTTGGGAGACATTTAGAATTCACCATTGAGCTGTACCATGTGAAATCAATGGATTTTAGACAGAGCCTTTTGTGAGCTCACAGAAAAGGCATATAAGTGGATAAAAATGTGTTATATTGTATTAAAAGTTTATAAAAATTATTTTTTGAGAATGCGGCATAGTCATTGACTGCCACTATGAACCAATATGTCCATTCCAGCATTAGATACCATATCAGAGTGACAGTCTCGGCATTTAGTGTGAAAAGTCTTTGCACCATAATTGCTGCATGCTTTAAAAAGGCAAGTTAATGGTCCTAGATAAATATACTAAAAACACATATTCCTCTAATTTTTCCATTAGGCATCTGCAGTCCTTCACACAACTGCATGCTGGTTAAATTCATAACTTTCCCTTTTGTTGTTAGTTTTAAAAAAGGAATTGGAAAATATTACTCAGTGCAGGCGGCTTATCAAACCCAAGATGATCAAGGCAACACCTGAGGAATCACAGTTCTGCAAGGAGCTGAAGGTAATGTTCGCAGCCTTAGTGTAGGTTGGAGATAAGATGAGTCAATCTACATGATTTGTACTGAATCTGGCCCTAACAAGGGATTCAGGATCATCTCAGATGGAAAGGAGCCTCTGATAGTGTCTTATACCACATAATGCAGCATGAGAAGGGCCTTGCAGAACTTCTGCATCTCCTTTTTCTTCATGGGTAAATAGGCTGGAAAGGATGGAGAACAGTTATCCACAATAAACAGTCTGGAACAACAGCAATTTTAGAGCAAATAATTTTAATAACTTCTTTTGTGCCCAGACCATAGGGTAAATAGCATAGCAAAAGACAATCAAAGAACATGCCTAAATTATGAGTATAGGTCAACCTGAGATGATTCTGCCTGTGCTAATGACAGAAGCAGATGGACACAATGGGAAAAAAAAAATAGTGAAACAGGCTGTTAGCAAGCCAGTTTTGGTCAGAAATTAGCAAGAGCCAAAGTCAGGACTGTGCTCTCATCAAAAATGTTATGCTGCTTGTGGACAGAGCTGCTTCCAGTGAGTGCATTCCTCTCTGTGTTCACCTCTGTATTTCTGGATATCTTTGTGCTGTGCTTCATTGGGTGACGTAGACCCTGCTGCCCTGGAGCAGCTCAGCAGTAGAGTTCTTCAATAAATATTAAGTTTTTAAAATGAATATTTTACAAAGGAATCATGATTAAGAAATATTATTTTAAAGTTTCTATGGTCTTGTTTCTGACTCTTTCTTAAGAATTAGCAACTGAGAACTATACTACATGCAAGGGGATTAGACCATGCCAAATGTGGACATGTGTACTGCTGTGGAGATCAAGACTTTATCATGCTTCTAATTGTGTAATTTTTTAGTAGGTTTAGGTAGTGTTATTGGACAATACTGTAAAAAGGTTCTCTAATGTTTATCTTCCTTTTGGTATTTGATGACTTTATACTAGCAAGGAAATGTGTGTTGATCTGTGCTTCTGTTTTGTAAAATGTGAAATTTGTGCGGCTTGGAAATTTTGACTTGAATTTTCTTGTTCTCATTGTTTAACACCTGCTTTAACTTTAAATTAAGGAGCTTTATTTTTACACAGGATTTAATTCAGAAGTATGAAGGGGACCTTACCATGCTGACAAAAAGATGTGATGAAATGAAGAAGCTTTATAGTGACATACTGGTACATATTATATTAAAATTCTGATTGCACCCTATTTTACATCTGAATATGATTTCATTTTCCATGTTACCAGAAGTATTTGTCCCAACTTTTAACTCAGTTGCTCCCTCTCCCTTACCTCTTCCCTCTTCCCCAAACCCTTCTCTAACGCTATGGGGACTTTCAATTCATTTCTCTCGGGTTTTGATTCATTTCTCTTGTTTAGGAAGGTTCTTTTTTTTTTTTTTCTCTTCTGAATAATGGTAGTCACAAATAGATTTATTTGCATATTTATAAAGCAGCAAAAGTGAAGCAAATATATAATAGGATGAGTGATCAAAAGCCAGACTATCATCTGAAGAGCGCTAGAAAGTAATAGACCAGCTTCCCTAGGGGCTGGATATCTGATCTGGAAAAAATGTGTTGTAGGTAGCCACCATCTTCCATGTAGGAAAACATCTTACTCATTAAAAAAAAAAAAAAAAAAAAAAAAAGGGCCTGCCTTTATGATTTTTACATTCTGCTAGAAAATCAATAGTGACCTTGGCATGTGATACTTCTATGGAGTTAACAATAAATTGGGGATAACCCCCTGTGGGATGGCTATGGGCAATCAGCTTCCCACAGATGGTCATTAGCTCTAGGAAATGCCCCTCTCGTTACTGTTTTAACTGATGGTACATGGGGAGCGAGTGGTGAGGTGTGCCAAAGATCAAGGACTTGTAGCACCCAGGAGGTGCAATTAGGAAGACAACATGTAAAACTATTAATCAGTATCACTGGATAAGGTTAAGGTTTTGTGCTGTTAGAAGGTTAAAAGCTTTTTACTGTGTTTTTGAGTTGCAGACAGAGGATTTGCTCATAACCTTTTAGATCATGTCCAGATGATTGTGTTTAGATAGTGATAGGTACTAGAAAATGCTAATCAACTGAATGAGTAATAACTTCTTATCTATATATTTCATTTGCAATCTGAAACACTGAAATACTAGTATATGACTGCTCACCTTGGGAGAGCTGCATCTTCTAATTACAATATAGCTCTCAATTACTGGCAAGATAAGAACTTGTAGCAACACAAGATGCCTTTTGAAAGTTTTTGTTGAAGGCTTTGGAGCTTGTTCTCTAGATTTTACCGGTTGATTAGAAATTATTTCAGGCACCTCCAGTTCTTGAGGTCGTTAATCTCATTAAGGAAAAATCCTTTGAAATGCTGAAAAAAATTCTTGAAATAAACCCCATCAACAAATTTAGTAATAGAAATCCTCTTTTGGCCTAGAACTGAAGAATTCTTTGGAAATAATTTTAGCTAAGGCAGGAATCCCTGTACTAGTACTTTGTAGTATGATTGCCTTCTACATGCTGTTTTATAGTAGAGTGTGTCTGATGCCAATACCATTTAGATATTTTGAAATCTTTTCATCCATTCATCTTTTTCAGATGAAGAGAGGGAGCAAATAGAGTGTGAAAAACTATTTTGGTTTGGATATGCTGCTACCATGCATGCATACCAGGGAATATAAACCCTTTCTCTAATGTACTGATTTTCTTTTATGAAAGGGCTTCTATAACAAACTTCATAGCCAGGAAACTCAGAGAGACTAAGCTATAGAGAAAACTAGGAAAGACGTAGTTCAAGGCCCTTAATGCCAACTCCTTGGGCCACCGTTGCTTGGGACATTTTGATTCTCAGGTTGCTGAAGGTTTTAGCTTTAAGTTTTCCTGGTTGGCTACTTAAAGTAAGAATAGAAATAGAATGGAAAATGCTAAACATTTTTCTCTTTCAAATTTACAGGTAAAGTTTGGGGAACCACAAGATCTAGACTCTCAGGAACTGTTTGGATGGATATCTTCGTTTATTCGTGAGTTTAGGAAGGCGTGTATTGATGTCATGCCATAAAGACAACACAACTGTTACAAAGAGAAAGGAAAGCAAAGTACAAGAAACAACACTTAGGTTAATGGTTTTAAAAGCTTTAATAGGGTGAAGTAGCATGTAGTATATCATCTTTACATCAGTCTATCTTGATTTTAAGAGATAACTCAGTTGATACTGTATAGTTTTGTATTTGAACTGTAGAATCACAGATAACTAAGCTTTGTTGTCTTTTTTGATGTTTGTGCTTTTGTGTCTTGAGATGCTTGTGTATTTAGAAAGGAGATATTCTTGATGTTTTATGAATTCTCCTTCAGTTTTTTGCTTTGATACCCAGGCTTCTGTTTGAGCTGTGTTATTACTTTAAATGACTAAATCTTTGCATAGTGATCTGATTTTTCACTATTTTTACTGTGATATTTTGGATAAATTTTCATAAATTTTATAATGTAATGGAGAGCTGTAGTGCACAAAGGAGAATATTGAACAAAAATTCATGTTCGTCTTCAGTTCTTAGAGCATTGCAGCTTTAATATGTAATCGAGAAGGTATGTGTCTGGGTAGTTTTTTCCCTGAAATAATACAATAAAGCAATGCTTTTTTATAGCTGATGTCATGGATTCAGGTAGAATGCTATAAAAATCCATCAATATATGAGATTTGCATTGGCAGGAAGAGAGCAATATCAGAGGTAAAATAAAAACTTGTCACAATACATTTAAGTGTTGTATGTTGGAGATAATTATCCGTAGTTTTCCGAAGAGAAAATACCTTGGTTGCATTTGTTGTCTTTTCCATGGCTTTAATTAGAATAATTATTTGAAGTTCAAAAGTGTGTAAGGAAAAGGAAGTCTGTAAATGCAGAGACAGAAAAGTGTGTATTTAATCTTGAAAACAGAAAATAGGTCTGCAAGGCCGTTGTTAAAATTTGGCATTTTCTCTGCTGGTGTTGAAAGCAGTTTTTTTGAGGCAAAGTGTATTACTTGACTGATTTTAGATCTGACTGGCCACTTTTCCGGAAGTTTTGGCCTTTAAAAATACTCATCACTCCCCCTGACTTAAATACTAAAAGCACCGTAAACAATACTTACAGTTTTCTGGTGTGCATCATAGCCTTTCCACAATCTGCGACATCTTCATTTATATGTGAATCAGGTAAGATAATCCTGAATACAAGTGCCATTTCCATGGTATCGAGGTCCCTGCATCCCTGAACAACATCCGTGATGGTCATGATAAGCTTCATGTTTTCCTACCGTTACCTTAGCTCAGGAGTCCTGGGGAGTCTCTTTTAGTTAAAAGTGTTTTCCTTCTAGTCTTTTTTCTTTTATATCTAACAGCTTGTACTTGTTTTATAGCTCAGCTAGAATGGCCTCTTGCAATTAAAAATATATTCCACACAGTAGTCGATATCTGCATCTTTGTGTGAATATCCTGGATCATTAATTTAAAAAAATGAATGTCTAAATACTTTTTTGGCAAGAAGTCCTAGCCCCTTCTGGGAGCTGGAGGATTTCCTGTGGAGTGGAAGCTTGCTGAGGAGACAAGTTTCAGTTTTCTCAAACCATTTCTTCAATGCCTGTGAGTTTCTGTGGCCTCCTGATTTATCTGTAAAAGTAAAGAGAGAGACCTTCTACCCTTCTCATTCTTTTTTTTCCCCCCTCTTTTTAAAATGTTATTTTAGAGTAGACTGGGCTTTCAAGTCTTTTAAACATATTACTAAGTTTTAATAGTGTTTATTGGTTAAGAAAGATAATTGCCACACCTCAACATTTGTTAGGGTTTATTGCTTTATAGGCAAGGATTTCCAGCTATTTTAAGTTCCAAGTCTCCCTGTAGACCATATCTATAGAATCCTCCCTTAGAGGATGACGGGCACATCCTGCAGACCTGTGGTCAAAGTGTCAGGCAAGTATCCTGTCTGCAGAAATAACACAATTTTCAGCACTTCTACAAGTAACAACCTACATATGAAAATATAATGATAATGTTATATAATGTAGTTCTGTGTCTTGTTAGTACATATGCTAGTCTTTCAGGTTGATGTAACACCATTCAAAGGAAAATATTGATTTTTAGAGAAGGTAAAAATTATATTAGACAAAGAAAAAAAAAAAACATGGCTTCTCTAAAAGGGAACTTGTTGGACCCTCACTGTAGAAAACTAAAGCCTGAAAGTGTTTGTAGAAATACTTCTGTGCTGAAGAAGTTGCTGCTAATTATGACTCAGAAGAACCACAAAAAAAAATTCCAGCTGCTCAGCTTAAAGAAGAATGTATTAAAAAATTCAGGCTGTGGTCAGCTTTGATGGGGTGCTGAGGGGCCCTGACTCAGAGCGTGGTGATACCCTGCCCTGCGTCCTTCCCTGGAAGTTTTCCTGTGGGTATTGATAGAACCAAGATTTCATTCCCTGATTCTAAAGAAATGTTCAGCTGAAATGCTCAGCTACTAAACTGTCTCACCAAAGTAAATTTAAGATATCCATTTTTTTTTCAGTATTACTGATTGCTATCCAACTAGAATATTCTGAAAGCTGAGCAGTTTTATTCTGGGAACAGCCTCTTTTAGGAAAACTCTAGCTCAGACTCCTACAGGTATGAATATTCCATACAAGTAGGAATTTCTTAGCACTGAACTTCAATATTTTACTTCACGGCATATTAGTGCAGCTAACATGATACATCTAACAAGCTGACTTTACTTTTTGGATATATAATAAAATGATAGCAGGGAGTGCAAATTATGCTTAAGCCATACACTTGCTGCCTGTTTGCCTAGGGATGAATTTTATCCTTTGGGAGTATTTGAGTCAAGGACAGTCAGCAGTAACTAATCAACAGAAAACTACAGGGGAGGTAAATATTTCTTTACACTCATTTTACAAATAGGGCAATTGAGACAAAAGTTTCAGATGCACAATTTAAGTCTCAATGCAGTTTAAAAATGTATTTATGTATAGGATACATAAATATCTGACTGTCCTTAGCTTGTACAAGGATAAATAACTGGTGCTATATGTTATGGTGATGTCATCAGTTTTTGGCATTTAACTAAAAAAGAAAATAACCCCAAAGGTTGTTGTCCCCAAAGTTTCCATGTAGATGAGCATATTTAGGCCAAAATGCTTTTTGTAGCTCATAGAAATTTTCCTGAATAAGCTTTTTAGGACTTGGCCTGAAATGATATGATTATAAATAGAAAAAATATTTGATTCATTTTCAAAACAGGAACTTTTTCAGCCAGTAAATTCCGTGATAACATCCCAAGTTGCTGTCATTAATGCTTAAATTGAACTTTGTTGTTTGGAATCCTGCCATTTAAAACAATCTGATGTCTCACTTTGTTGTCAGGAATTAAGCTGATTAAGAAGATTAAAAGCAAACAAAATCTTTTGATTATGGATTTACTGAGCTCGCCCTACGAAAGGACAGAGTGGCTGTGATAACTGTGTGCTCCAAGCTGCAGTACAGTTGTGGCTGCATTTGATGAAACAACCATGGGGAGGTTTTGGTGTGCCAAGCTAACTGCTGCTTTCCTGGCATGTAGAACATCCTGTTTAGAAGGACTAATTGTAGCCCCATCAGTGGGGGTGTAACTGCCATACGCATATTCAGGGAAGGAAATTTAGAAAACGGTTGTGATTTATTCCTGTTGTTCCCACCTCTTCCCTGTGCAGCTGTGCAAAAGAGTGGAATTATTGAGTGGCACATGGAATATGAGTGTTTAGAGATTAGGATGGTCAGGGGGAGGGAGGAGATCTGAGTTCCAGGTAATGTTCATAGAGCTGTATGTTGAAAATGCATTGGCTAAAACAAAGACCAATCATTGCTACAGAGGCCAGGACTCAGATCTGCCTTTCCTCAGGACAAGGTCAAGGCTAGAGACAGAAGCTTCTACCAGATCCTGGTCTCAATGAGTGTGCTGATTTGACTTGGCTTTTTACATCCCGTTCTGGGAAGAAAATGCCTAAAAGCTATGCAGATCTCCTATCTACTTGTCTTTCCCTTCCTGCAATGTGCAAGCTGACTTCAGAGGCACTCCGGTGGTTACTGTGAAGGCTACTCCTGACACACTTCCTAAAGGTCTTGAGTGTGCGCAAAAAATGGCTTCTATTTTGATTTTTTTTTAAATCTGAATTCTTTTGGAGTAAAATAATTGCTTGTTAGTGTTCATCTTGATCTAGTCATCTAATAGGAAAGATCAGAACACCCATTGAGATAAAGCTCAGCACAGTGTAGTCAATGAGATTTTGCTCTTTGGTTAAAGAGTGTCAAAGTTTCAAGCTGAAAACCTCAAAGCTTCTGATGCTGCAGCAGTGAGAGTGCCAGCTTCCCAAGGACAGAGCTGGGAAGCAGAACGCTGCATGTGTGTAAGTTTGATTAAGAAAAGACTTTGGGAATGGGAGTCTCAGAGAAGGACATCTCTGAGTATTTTGAACTCAGAGTGATTGCCGAATGCTATCACCTCTTCAAAAGTACTTAGTGTTTTGACCTCTGTTTCGGTCTTTTTCTGTCTTGCCCTGTATTTACTTACATAGTCTCATAAAAATAATGTGAAAAAGCCTTTCAGACAGAGGTGTTTCATACGGAATCACAGAGTGACTGAGATTAGAAGGGACCTCTGGAGATTGTCTAGTCCAACCCTCCTGCTCGGAGTAGCAGCTCAGGGCTGCAACAAGCAGGGTTTGGAATACTTCCAATGGACAATGTGTCAGTGTGTGTCCTCCTCACATGAAAATTGATTTTCTTATTTAAATGGAATTTCTTGTGTTTCTTTTTGTGCCCATTGTGTGTTGTCCTTCATTGGGTACTACCGAGAAGAGTCTGGCTCCATCTTCTTTCTCTCTCCCTTTAGCAGTATTCAGTGTACATGCTGGTAAGATCCTACCAAGCTTTGTCTTGACCTGGCTGAACAGCTGCAGGTTTCTCAGCCTCCTGTTGCGTGACAGATGCTCTAGTCTATAATGATCTGTTTGGCCCTTTTCTGTGCTGGCTTCAGAAAGGACATGTGTTTTTTATGTACTGGGAAGCCCAGCACTGGAC